TGTAGATATATATATGTATGTAATAAATAAAAATAAATATGTAAATATATATATATATGTAGATATATATATATATATATGTATATGTATGTATTTATATATATAATATATATAAATATATATTTATATCAGAGATCTTGTTGACCAAATTATACTGTGCATACGTATCTTCACAGATTTTTATAATCAGAAACACTGTAAATAATTCAAAATACACTGATTGCAGTTTCAGACATACTGATTAATCAAATCTGTGACATTATTAAACTGTGAATAACAAACAGAAGGGTAAAAATTTGCAGGGTGTCTAGAAAACTAAGATCTAGAAAACTAAGACCTAAGATATCTTAGTTTTGTAGATCTAGAAAACTAAGATATCTTAGTTTTCTAGATCTAGAAAACTAAGATATCGGCGCTGGTCCAACGGCACGCTTGCCAGGCCTGTAACCAGGGGGGGTTCGGGGGGCTCGGACGAACCCCGCCGTTTTGCTAGCTAAGATATCTTAGTTTTCTAGATCTAGAAAACTAAGATATCTTAGTTTTCTAGATCTAGAAAACTAAGATATCTTAGTTTTACATTCTAGTACAGTGTACACTGCCATACAATTAAATCATTTTTGGTGATCCGCTTCTCGAGCGGATCACCTCTTGTTATTGTCAGAGATCTTCTTACTTCATCTTTTTTTTTTTTTATTCTACCTTTCCTTCCATTTTTGTTCGCACGATATCTCAAAATTGCTACGAGCTACGCACAAGGTCGCTTCATCGATCATTTTGGCATCGCGTGGAATAAACATGGTAAGGTTTTCAAGGTGACCAGTCATGCGTGACGTCAGCTACGTGCAATTTTGCGTTTTTACATTATCGATCATATCAGCCTAACCAATTGCTATTTTGAAATCCTATTAAGTGAGTATTAACTTCAGGTGAATGTTAAATGTACTGTATCCTAATTTTACGCGTGTGCTTCGTAACCCATGCGTACGCGTGCGTCAAAATTTCAAAATGCTCGAAATCTCTTTTTGACTAAATTAGAGCACGTTACACGCCACTTTGAGCATTTCAATTTTTTTAAAATTTACCACTACGCGTGTGCATTTTTACGCACGCAGCTCATACGGAAGCTAAAAATTAAGTTTTTTTTGTCACATTTTGGGTTCTTGACATTGTTTTTACAAGTTTCCGATCTTTTCAATCACCTTATGGCCAATAAAAATGCCGTACGCACGCATCAAACATAGCGAACTATGTGCGCATTTGTGCCGATATACAGTGAAATTTTGCTAAAATCAGGCCTAATTTTAAACAGTTACAGCTCTTTAGAATGAAAGGTGACCCCAATTTTTATTACATATTCTGAAAGCACATGAGTTGTAAATATGATTTTCTAGCTCATAATGCTCGATCGGACATTGTGACGTCCTCATATTGCCATCTGAATTCAACAAACTGAATTTTATCGATGACGTCATTTTTTAAAATGCACATTTGAGCGTATCTTGCTTATTCTTGGTCGATCGTCTTCCAACTCTGAATATGTTATAGCTGAGGCAATTCTCTTTCATATATGTGACTTCTTTTTACATTTTGATGATGTCATCATGGTCAAAATAAAGGTTTTTGATGACCCCCTCATCTTTCTTTCCTCAAACATTTAATGACCCCATAATCACCTTAACCAGCCGTGATTTCTGAATGATATTTAGTGGGCATAAACTTTAGGTCATGCTTGAATGTTACGTAACTTAATTTCCTGTGCGCGCGTCATAACGCGTGCGTCAAAATTAAAATGTGCTTAATATCATGCCTTTTTTCAATCAGTTATAGCTCCTTAAGATGAAATTTTTATTACATATTCTAAAAGCACATGAGTTGTAGATATGATTTTATATATCATAATAGCTGATCGGACATTGTGACGTCACCATATTGCCATCTGAATTCAAAAATCTGAATTTTTATATATGATAAATACTGTGAATGATAATTACTCCTTCACCAACAGGCGTTTGTCAATGAAAGTTGATACATATATATCTCATATCAGGGGACAACAGTGACATTAAGATGCGCACGTGCTTCATGACGTGCGTACGTATGAGTAAATCTTTTAAAATGCTCCAAATTCTTTTTTAACAAACTAAATTAGCGTATTTTACCATTTTCAGCATTTAAATATTGTTCAATCCGCACCGCGCACACTTCCTCGTGAGTCAAAGTGCGGCGGATCACCCAACTCGTCCTCAGTGATCTAGTTGCATACTTGGTTTCTACTCCCCGCCAAGTAAATTTAAGTGCCTAAAACTATACTAAATAATGTAAACTGAGATACTATATTATATACATAGTTATGTAATGGCAATTATGCTAAGAATTAAAATGGTGTGTAATTGTGAGGGTAAAGTAATTATGGTAGGATCAAATGGTACTGCTAAATCCCAA